GATAGTATTTCAGTTTTTCCCATCAAAATTTTCAGTTTTAATAAATTCAACCAAGAAACCTTTTGAAGTCATGTTTCTTGGATCAAATAAAAAAAAACTACTAAACTATGGCAGCAAAACATAGAAGCTCTGATACCAAGGAAAGGTGTGGCTATGTGGAACTCAAGAGATTAAATTCAAAAATTTCTTTTTACTTTTATTCCAAATACTTGAATTCCACCTACGTGCCACAATATATTGCTGAAAAATTAAAACAATGCCCTAAATACAGCCTAGGATCTTTATTTTACTGCCTAGAGAAATAAAAACCATCAAGGAACTTTAAACTAGCTGTTATAACAATTTTTAACACAATATAAGTTCCTAAAAAATTACAGAAAGATAGAAAATAAAACTGAAAATAAATAAAAACTAGGAAAAATTACAAAAACAACCCCGGACCACACTTTCTATGCAACTTACCCCCAACCTAACTTTTTCTCTCACTTTTTTCCCCAAAACAAACTTTCTATGCAAATACCCCCCCCCCCGCCCCCCAAGGGAAAAAGTCCATATTTTTTAGTCAAAAATTCCCTTCCCGTACACAAAAATCATTTTGGCTAGATTTGACGTTGACTTTTGGAACCCAATAGCATATTGCCGGAGCGCACAAGTGTCGAGCTGCCCTAAGACAACTACCAGACCGAAACTGCATACTGTCGGACCGCCCTTTACATAGTGCCGGAGCCCTGGAATACAGTAACATTTACTGCCGGACCACCCTTTGCAACTGTCGGACTGCACTTTACACAGTGTAGGAGTCCTACTGCCGGACCGCACTTTACACAATGGCAGAGCCCTACTGCCAGACCGTGGGTAAGGTAAAAGTAAGGGAGGGCAGTTTAGGAATTTTATTATTATTACTTTGGTTGGGGGGGTATTTGCATAAAAAGTGTAGTTTGGGGGAAAAAAGTGAGAGAAAAGTTAGGTTAGGGTAAGTTGCATAGAAAGTGTAGTCTTGGGGTTTTTTTGTAATTTTCCCTAAAAACTAATAGGAAGACTTACTAGAAGATGTCTGGATCTGGAGTTACCCAACCAGGACTTGGTACACCCCACACCCGATTCCCTGACCAATGGCACACTTTTTCTTCTTTAAGATGTTGTAAATTCTTAGATAGGGAAGCTTTGTAGGCTATCCTTCTTTCTCTAGGGTTTAAGAGAGCTCAAAAAATAACCTAGGATTTATACAAACCCTATAGGAACAAAAGTGGGCTTCTCTCTTCTTCCTTAAAAAAATACAGCAAACCCTAGTTTAGCGTTTCTCCATGAAAAATAGGTCACCTCTAATTTTTACTTTCAAGACAAAAAAAATTAGAGGGACAAAAAATTAGAGGAAAGAGAAGGTGGCGTGCCTCACTTTTTCATTGAAAAAGAGAGAGAAGGTGGCATGAGAGAGATAGAAAGATCCCCCAATTGGTGCATGAGCGAGAGAGATCTTTTGAAGAGAGAAAAGATCTAGTGATTAGCTCTCAAATAGTTTCAAGCTCCTTAAATAGAAGAAAAACTTATGAATAGGATTCTAGTTTGAATAGGATTCCTTAGCTAATTTCCATCCGAGCCTTTTAGGACAACTAGGAAATCTGTAGGGAGAGAGAGCAATCAGAGCCATCTATCACAAAAATCAGCCATTATGATTTTGAATGGAAAGATTGGGAACATTATCCCCGTACACTTTAACCCAATCCACTCCTATTTAAAATTAAATCAATCAAATTTAAACTTTATCTTTTTAAATTTGAAATCAAACTTTTAGATAAATCTAATCTAGATTTCCCAAAAAATTGGGAAACCATATATCTCAATAGATTTCGATTTATCATGTTTAAATTTGAATTTAAAAAAAATAGGGAAAATTATAAACATATCCGTTATACTTTGCGCTATTACGGATGTACCAAATAGTTTCCGTTATTACATGTATATCTGTTTTTTACCTTTTATAAAGCAATTTTTTTAAAAAAAACGACTTTACCCTTTTACGGGTGTTGAATAACCGAATTGAAGGGTTTTTTGGATACATTTTCGAATGTTCAACATCCGAAAATGTTAAGTTTTCGGTTGTTCAACAACCGAAAACATGTTGTGTATATAAAAGGGGCAGTCACGTTTTCTGACAAGGAAGAGCAGATATACTCGAGTATATCAAACAACTTCAACAGGGGTTGCATCAGGTGGCAATTCCCTAAATTGGCCTTCAACCATGTATGCTTCAGGACTGTCAGGTTGCCATCAGAAACTATACCCAAATTGTCTTCTATATACTATCAGGTTGCCATCAAGGATTATATCCAAATTGTGACATTTTCGGATGTTGACTATACTCAAATGTTGAACATCTGAAAATGGTTTCGAATGTTGGACTTCCGAAAATTTGACATCGAAAAATTGGAACGTAAACGTTAAACTTTCGAGCTATTTTCGGATGTTGAACATCTGAAAAACCCTTCAATTCTGTTGTTCAACACCCTTCTTTTTAAAATTACATTATAAAAGGCAAAAACAGAACAAACATGTAATCACAGAAACTATTTGGTACATCCGTAATAACGCAAAGTATAACGGATATGTATGTAATTTTCCCAAAAAAATAAGGGGGTGTGCCCCTTACTTCCCAAAGAAAATAGCATGGGGGGTTGTGCCACAAAAAGTAGCATGCCCCCTTTGCTGCTAAAAAATGGCGTGGCATTTTTTTTCTTAAAAGAACTTTTTAAAATAGGGTGCCCCTCTATTTCCCTTAAAAGTGGCGTACCACTAATTTTCCCAAAAATAGTGACGTGCCTCGTCTCTTTTTATAGCTTTAAGAAAAATGGGGCACGGTCCCTAAGGCACACAGTGTGCCACATGTGGGGTTGTATCCTTGGCCCCACATGTGTTTCCTTAAATTTCTGAAATTTTCAAAAATACCCTTTTATGAAAAATTACCGCAGAAATTAATATTTTAAAATTCTAAAAAAATATTTAAAAATCAAATAAACATTTATGATACCAAAGTAAAATATATTAGGAGTGGACTGGTACCAATGGGTCAAAAAAAGTGATACTAAGGGCGCTCCACTCGCCCCAAAAACCATGATTCACAATTGTTCTCTTATCTAACCCAAAAAAGTCACATGACCCACAGTCTCTTAGCAGGGACTCATGATTAGCTTGTCAAAGTTGATTAATAAAACAATGGGACTATGATACTGGAATGTGGATTACAGTTCTCCCCTTTAAGGGCAAGTCTAACACTTGTCACTACAGTGCAAAAGGGGCTCTCTCAATGCACATGTACACATGTCCCTGTAAAAAGTGTTGCTTCCCATGCGATTGTCATATTTACATGTTGTGCGAAAGTTTGTTGAAGGTTTGACCCTTGGTCTCACATGCCTACAACCGCACACAAGAGACCACAGTTCTCCTGACCTAAAAACATGATCCTTGGGCATTTCTCCGACCTCAACAAGGGATGACCCACTTCAAACCCGTTTCGGATGTGCCACATAACCAGAGCCGGGTTTTAGACATGACCAGAGCCATAAACCGCCCAACCCTTGGTCAGTCAACACACACTCCCACTGAAGTGCATATTCCACTATACATTTTTTACAAGCTCTCTAGGCAGGCCACAAGAACCCAACAATACTGGTATTGCATGAGTCGGCTAAGAAGTCAATTTGGGAACTCAAGCATGCATCATTTGCTTGCTTTGAAATCTTATTAGAGAGAGACCTATACTGTTGGAGCCGGCTCTCTAGAACCCTCAATCCTGCACCATGCTTGCCCTAGATCCTCATTCCATATCCTATTCTTACCCCCAATACTTCTAATATCAGCAATCTCTAATTCACACTTCCATTCCCTTTTCCTATCCCACTCCTTGCATCTATATATGACATCTTTATTAAGTGTTACAGAATAAAAGATGGAAGCTAAACCATATACTCTCTCTTAAACAAGTACACGCTGCTCAATAACATTGCCTATTTCGTTGTTTGAAGCATACAGATGACCATGAAGATATCCAAATTTATATGCACTGAAAGGTATTGCCTTGGCATGGAAGTTGATCGATTCTTAATTTACTTGCCATACATGGCCTTTTGGATTATAAAGGACAAACCATTTGTATACTTGCACAAATATATAAGAACCATAGTTGTTGAGAACGGGACCAAAATGTTTCCAGAATCAGGGGCGGGATCAATGGATTGAGGCTCTTCGGAAGCTCCTTATGACAGGGATCGATGCATTGTTTATAGACTATTAAATCTAAGGAACTCAATCACTTTGCTCTAGGGATTTTGAGTTCCCCCAATTAGATAGAAATAGCACCATAGGACGAGCTCCTTATATAGGTCCCTAATGATATCTTCCACTTTGTATAATTCTCTAACATATAGGCCCATGGTGTTGCATGTTAATACAGCTGGCTATCTACGTATGATTCATCAGCTGAAAAAACTGATTGACGAGGCTGGAATTCAATGTCTGTACAATAGTAAATCCACAGAAATCGACCCCTATTTTCTAAGGATCTTCTTGTGAAAAAGAACAGTACAGCTTTAAGCAAAGAAGCATCCATCAGAGAGCATTGGCACAATTAACAACATGACTTCTGCAGGGACAATTGCAATACTACATCCCAAGTTGAATTCAATTCCTAATGCTGAACTAACCAAAGGCAGGCATGCATAGGTATGAATGTTTGTATTTATGTACGTAAGTAATTAACAGCATATATGTATGCATGTATGTATGTGTTTGTACGTATGTAACTGTATGTAATTATATGCACATATTATGTACGTACGTGTGTGAATATCTGTATGTATGCATGTAATTAACACCATGTATGCATGTAATTAACACCATGTATGCACGTATGTATGTATATATTCACAAGCAACAAGAATGTCTTCTGTTTACGGATACAGGGTAATATTGGGAACTAGGCATGTTGAGAGGAACATAAGCCTCACCTTGCATATCGATAGAGAGCAAACGAGGGGTGTATGTAGGAATGCCCTGCATATAGCCCAAGTTATAAGAATATATGCTGATATGTTTTTTGTGTGGGTTGGGAAGCATGAATGCACTACAACTTGATAGCTTACAGCTACGATAAAGAATAAAATCTATAGAAGAGATGCTTCATCCATTTGAAGCCATAAGAAAGCTAGCATAAAGCAAACTTCTCAAAACATAATCTTGAAGTTCATAATCCTCAACAAAGAACAAAGGGAAATTTATTAAAATACACCTAATTTTTCAACAACTTAACAATTTCTCCTTCAACTATTCCAAACTCATAGTCATGTGTATATTGATGGGGTATTTTGAAATCAAATCAAAAGATATGGGTATAAAGCACCTTAAACGCAATTACCAGGATTGTTTGATATGTCCACCTTCACATGCTTGTTATATGCTCAATGCTTTCATCACAATGAAATCAAGTAATATAAGAAACACAATGAAAAGAATGGCCTTCTCATGTCTTTTGAGATATGATTGTTTACCTTCACATTCTTATTATATGCTCGATGCTTTCCTCATAAAGAAATCAAGTAGAAACACAATGAAAAGAATGGCCTTCTCATGTCTTTCCAAGAGCTCAAAGCATCAATATAACCTCCTTTTGCTTGGGAATTAATGGTGGGAATGGAACCCAAAATGCCACATTGGGGGTACCCGCCACCCTGACCACCTATGCTTCAGCCCATTTCCAAAAATAAAGCCATCATTCTAATAGAAGGATGGGCCTTATGTGCAATAAAGAAGAAACTAGTAGTGTAAATTTGTAACAAAATAAATAGTCACTCATTCTTTAGTTCATGTCTTCATTCTGAATAGAAATGGCAAATGCTGCTCCATTTGGGGTGAATTGGTGAAGGAAAGCAACAATTATTAAGGGGAATTCCATGTAAACACACACACACATATATATATATATATATATATGTTTTTTTTTTTTTGTGGTGGCGGGGTGGTTGTTGGTGTTCACCACTACATTTGGATTTTACCATTTTTTTGTCAAAGTTCAGATGGGTATGCTTGGGGTTAGGGAGGAGCTCTTGGATTTTGCTCCACCTTGATTTTGTCTTGCTCACTGGGTTTTTCTAAGCCTTGGTGTTTGTAGTGACATGGAGCAATATGATATTATAAACATATCTGTTCTATAGGACAGCTGTGAGACCAGCTTTGCTCTATGGGGCAGAATGTTTAGGTGGTCAAAAAACAATATACCCATAGAATGAGTGTAGCGGGATGAGGATGTTGAGATGGATGAGTGGCAAGACAAGGGATAGAATTTGAAATGAATACATTTAGGAAAATTTAGGTGTGACGCCAATATGAGAGAGAGTAGACTTAGGTGGGCTGGCCATGTGTGGCGCAGACCTAGTACATCACCTGTTAGGAGGTGCAAGTTAGTTTAAGTGGAAGGCCCAAAAAAGACGAGGGGTAGGCCGACAAGGACATGATTGGAAGTAGCAAGAAAAGTTATGGGGACTACTGTCCTCACTGAGGATATAGCCCTTAATAGAGCAGAATGGAGGATTAGGATTCGTGTGGCCGACCCCAAGAACAATAAGATTCCAAAGGGAAATGCACCTAAGATCAAATATTTCAAGCTGGCTTCCGTTATTGTTTCCAAATGCAATCATTGTTTGTGGGGATGTGTTGTATCCTACCCAAGAAAATTTAATAAAAAGCAGCATGTTTTCTGTACTCTTGACTGTTTTTTTCTTTATTTTTAAAAGGGTTGTGTCCTACCCAAGAACATAATTTAATGAAAAGCAGCATGTTTTCTGTACTCAACTGTTATTTTCTTTATTTTTAATAGGGTGTATGTGCTCCATATGATAATCTCTTGAAAGCAAATGGCTCCCACTCTGGTCCTACTCAATTGTAATGAAGAGATACACATGCATGGACATATATGTCATTTATTAATCAAAGGCACCATAATCAAATGGATCAAAGAGGAAGAAGGCACTGAATTACAGCACAGCACATTTTTGTGCAAGATAGACATGCATGAACATACATATCATCTAGTTTTTGAGATATCATAAACCATCCTATCTAGGAAGATTCACCTTGCTCATGTCATATGTCGTACCCCCATGCCAAATCATTGGTGCTCTGTTTTCAAACGCACTTTCAATATAATATACACACTGGAGACGCTCCAAAGGAACTTGCTTTAGGGTAATCCCAAAAGCTAAAACATCCAAACCTAACCAATGGAACACAATTTGTAAACCAAAGAGCAAGCTCGGACATGGGCACCAAAACGATTGAGGATATTAACTTATCCGTACCAGCTAAACTTGGATGAGGCTTGGCTAGCAAAAGATGATCCGTATGGACAAGATTAATGAGAAGAAAGTATCTTTGGAGAAGCTCCATGTGGAACTCTAGAACATGGAAGTGAGTCTTGGGCATGGAAATGAATACAAAAAACAAAAGCACTAATTAAAAGAAATAGCCAATGAATAGCAGGGGATGGTTCCAAAATCAATATTTGGTTCCATCCATGTCTTAATGAGGGGTTCTTGTATGAACTGTATGGGGAGGAAATCATAAGGGCTTATGCCTTAGACGATCCATAGACATCTCCTAAATTTGGGACGGAAATACATTGTGACATCCTCTTCCTAAAAGTGGATGAAGAGTGAGGGCTTGGAAGCTAACCTTGGAAAAGGCTACCTATCTACAGAGTGGGGATGAAGATAAGCTTAGATATTAAATCAAAAGGCATCCAAGAAATCATGAGAACATGGGGCCAAAAAATAAAACACTTGAAACTATATATGAAAAACCACTGGAGAACCTCTTGGTTTTTGCATGGATAGCTTATCAAAAGGGGCCACCAACCACCTAAAGAATGCAAAAAATGGGGTCATCTTCGAAACATTAGATGATTCTTATGTAAAGTTGAGAATGAAGATCACGATCACCTCTCTATTACATGTGCCCTTCTGATCGATATTTGCAAAGCAATCACTTGGAGGTTCGACAAAGAAGTCACAGCCAGCTTGAACATCCAAAGCCCCTAACAACTTGGATCCAAAGAAGTTCAAAAACAAATCTTTACCAAAGCTTTGGAATGCCTCTCTTTGCACTCTTATCTGACTCAGACAGTGAGAAAGCCATCGACAGGCAAAAGATGACCATTATAAAACCATTCATGGACTAGGGGAGGACTATGTCCTTACTAATCTAAACTTGTCATACAAATTACTACAATTGGTGGGGTTCCCGCATAAACACCTGCTTATGTAGTGAGAAAGAAAGAGAGAGAACCGAATATTGTAATCGCTCAATGAAGTAAGTCAGTAGGTGATGAAACATCACATTCATTTTAAATTTCACAGCTTTCATAATTAGTTGGGCCTTCAATGTTATATGATGCCTCCATGAGAAGTACGAGTAAGCATGAATACATTATGTTGCTTATGTGAGATGTCAAACACATCCATACATAGAAATTCATATATATGTATGGAATGTTTGTGTACATGCACGATGGAAGAACCATAAGAACATCTTTTAAATGAGCAGGTACTGCAACTTAGTTCACATACAACAGTTCTATCCTAATGATATTTATATTTTTAAAATTTATATTAAGATGGAAAATTGCCCATCAAAGAAAAGAATGTATCATTCACAAACAAATACACTTCAGCAACAAGGAGAAACCAAGAAAGTATATAATAACAATTCAAGCAAACCAAACAATGCTTACCTGATGTGTTTCACCCACACGATAAAAGACATCCATGTGCGACTTACTTCACATACAACAGTTTTGTCCTAATAATATTTATATTTTTAAACTTTATCCTAAGATGGCAAATTTCCCATCAAAGAAAAGAATGTATCAATCACAAACAAATACACTCAAGCAACAAGGAGAAAACAAGAAAGTATATAATAACAATTCAAATCATGCAAACCAAACAATGCTTACCTGATGGGTTTCACCCGCACGATAAAAGACATCCATGTCCATGTCTGTGTTCTTGTATACAGGATCTCCATTGTTTTCCTCCGCCAATCCAAGCAACTCATCCTTCAAAGAGTAAGACTATTAAGAATTTAAGACATCAATGCATGCCCACAAAGTAAACCAAATATCATGAGATGCATCCACAAATAAAAGTGACCATGTCTGCAAATGTCACATGCATTTTTCTATATACATAATTCGAATAGATAGACATAATTATATTCTTCTAGATCAAATTTAACTAAAAATTATTTATATTAGTTCATTAATTATTTTGTGTTGAATAATTTTTGCAAGTAAAAGTATATTTGTCCTCAATTTATTAGCCAAAATCAGTTAAGACTGCATTGACCCTCTCTTGGCAGCAGGCTTATTCGAGAATCAAGAACTGCATTGCTATCAAAGGAATTTCAAAAGAAGTACAAACTGTTAAATCAGGTATAAGATCCTCCATATTTAAGAATATCCAAACCCACTCCATTATACATTTTTATCATTCACTCATTCAAAGGTGCAAGCGGTCATGCCAGTCCCAAGCCCGGCTAAAGGAGGAGGGTTGTGCTAGGTAGGGCAGCCAGAGGAGAACTTTGACAAATCTTGTCGTGAATCCCGAACTTATGAGCAGAATGGCAGAACAGGATTCATGTAGCTGACCTCAAATAGTTGGGATAAGGCTTAGATGATGACTCATTTTCGAACAATCTCTTATACTTTTTAATAACTCTTATACTCACTCATTTTTGAAGTGACAGTGCCCACAGCATTTCAGTTTACATAAAAAAATGTGCACAGTAGGAGTGGCAAGATCTGATTACTCAAACCATTATGCTAACTATGATTTGAATTGTTGGTTCAGTAGAGCCAGAACCTGGTTACTAACCACAATTTTAACTCTGATTTGAACTGTTGCGTTTCTTAGTTTACAATAGTAAATGGACTGTTTTCGTACATCATTCTCCTTCTATTTTTCATGAAGAATAAGAGTTCAATATTTTATCTTGATCTGAACTCTTGGTTCAAAGACATTGTGATTTTTATGCTGAATTAATTTGGTAATGAAAGTTTCACATTACCAACTAACATGTACTTTTGTTGGTTGCCAAAAGCGTTTAACCCAATGATCCGGATACCGCCGATTTGTATCGGATTTGGTGGGTGGGGATTTGGGTCCCCTTCACCGGTTCAGTCTATCCCGATTGCCAATCCAGCTGATTCAGATGGTGCGATGGCAGGCTATCCAAAACCCGTTTCCAGGTTTTAAAACACTGGTCACAAATAACAACTATGTTGACAACATGGACAGCATGATCACAATGCCTTTTCCCCTCCATTTCATGAACAAGGAATTCTCGGTGTTGCTTTACCTGAACAAATTAGATGTGATCCCTTAACGCAGGAACACCCACAATACAGTTGTTTAGACGCATTATGGTTTTCTTTGAATATTAATAACGTTGGAAAATGAATGAATGTTCCACAAAATAGAAAAAAAGAAGCATAGCATCCAAGCATAACCAAAGAGAGAAAAGGAGCATTTATTTGATCCCTGGAAAGGGCTTGTACTGAAATTATGATCCCTGGAACGGGTTTGTACAAGCTACTATGTGCATTGTAAGTTCCAACCTCAAATATATAAAATATGATACAAGAAATAACAACTGTAAAAGCACATGTGCCCCACAGTGGACCACATTTGCACCTACACTTTTAAAACCAAGCAAGAAGGAAAATGTTGCCTCCAAGGATCATATGCATTATTTGCAACTCCCCACAGTGGACCACATTTGCACCTACACTTTTAAAACCAAGCAAGAAGGAAAATGTTGCCTCCAAGGATCATATGCATTATTTGCAACATCCCGACTGGGGCAGAAGTTAAATCCATATGCTTTATGAAACCCCATGAAATAATTTCTATTGTGAATCTAGCTATTGAACCATCACACTATGCTTTTGTTAACCCATATTCGACAAACTACTGCTTTCCATTAGGACGCTGTAGGGGCTTCCACATGCCAAGTGTTGTGTGATTTACAGTTCTACATCATCCATATTCATCATTCATATTCCACATGCCAAGTATTGAAGCCACAAGGCCATTTATAATTGGATTTATGAGGCGGCATGTGACTTTCTATTGCAGCTTTTGATTCGGTAACAGAAGGAATCATGCATCCATTTTATTTTGCTACGATTTTCTTTCCTCTTTAATGAAATCCTTCTTCTTACCAGACAGAATAGAAAACATTAAAAAATAAAAAAGTATTGCATTGCTATGCATGTGATATCCCCTTATGTCCAATCTGATCTTGATGCAAAAAATATGATTTGACTTCAAGATGAGCAATGCATCAACAATCAATATCGTCATAATCAAGTCGCCCATGGAATAGAAAGAGGACCTAATGATGTAAACACCAACAAGGGTACCTCATGACTGGGGACAATGAGATCCATTGAGAAAAATAACAGGGGTAACTGGTCCATGTATGTTGTAAGCATGATCCCACAGCATTTTTTCTTTTGGTTTAACAGCTGTGTTTCAAGTTTGTATCAAAGCTAGGTTGCCTTTGTAGTGTATGGAAACCCAGTGTTTTAAAACTCGGCAACCCGATCCAGAATCGGGCGATCCGGATCGGGTGTTGCCCAGCCCATCTTGGATCATGTAGAAAAACGGGATTCGGACGATTCTCCACGTAGAATCGCCCCGATGATGTCATGAGTCACTAAGTGATGTCATGGATCGCCTGAATTTAAAGCCTCCTCAACTGCTTATGTATAAGTGATGTCATGGATCGCCCAACTGACACCTCATCTGCTTATGTCTAAGTGATGTCATGGACTGCCTGAATTTAAAGCCTCAACTGACACCTCAACTGCTTATGTCAGCGTGCAAAAAGCCCACTTACACGTGGACCTAAAACAGCATACCCAAAGGGTTGGGTTGGTTTGATTGTTTTATAGGACTGGTTCTTCCCACATCCCTTCGATGTGGAACAATTCCCTAATAAACTTTAGAATGCAACAACTTGTAGTGAGATGACTTGTAAGCCCGATGGTGTACGCCCGATGGTGTACGCCCGATGGTGGCACTTAAATTATACGATAAAAAAAGGAAAATAATTATTAAAAATAATAATTGGGTGCCCACCACCCCTATCTTTCGTCAAAAAAATTTAAATTTACTTACTCCAAAAAAACATAAAAACTTTATTTGGTTATTATCTAATGGGATTATCTCATTTTATGATTAATAATTAATTAATTAGTTAATTGAGATTAAAAAATTAGTACTAGCTCATAGGATATTAAAAATAATAATAATAATACAAATACTAGTTTATTGAATATTAAAAAAAAAATATTAGTTTAGAGGATATTTTAAGAGAGAAAATAACACTAACTCATACCACTTTAGAATTTATTTCAAGTTGCTTTATCAATTATCCCACACTGCAAATATGAATTTTTTTAATTTATTAATAACCAAATATTGTATTTTATTTATTAATTTATTTATATTATAAATTTTATAATATATTATTTTTTTCTTATAATTGTAAATAAGATTTTTTAAATTAGATGTTATTATAAGACATTTTATATTTTTTTTTGTATAGTAAAATAATTATAAAATATAAAGTTATAAACCAACAACTTCAATTTCAATGTATATTATTATAGTTAGTTAGGTTTAATAATTTTGGATGAGTAGAACGAATTAATAAATGTTTGATACTTTGATGTGATACTAATTTATGCAGGAAATTAATTTTTGTAATCTTATAATATGGAAGTGTTTTCTAATATTTTTAAATTGTTTTGATATAATATTATAATACTATATTACAATTAATAATTATACAGACATCCAGACAGGAAAACAACATCTCAATATGCACCAATTTTACAAAATAATGATATTACATAATGCATTACTCTTAATTTCTTTTAAAAACTAAAAGAATACTATTTTTAGATATTTATAGTGAGTTTTTAAAAAACTTTTAAGAGATAAAAAATGAGGAAAATTATTAAAAATAATAATTAGTTGATATGGCCCACCACCTTTATCCTTTACCAAAAAAATTTAAATTTACTTATCCCAAAAAAAAAAAAAACTAATATTATTAGGCTATTAGCTAATTGGGATTAAAAAAATTAGTACTAGCTCATAGGATATTAAAAAAAGCAAAAAAATTACTACTAATTCTGGTTTATTGAACATTAATAAAAATACTAGTTTATCGGATATTTTCAGAAAGAAAAATAACACTAGCTCATACGACTTAAGAATTTATTTCAAGTTGCTTTATCAATTATCCCACATTGCAATTCTTTATTTATTTTCCTAATTTTATTAAAATATGATTGCAAATTTATGTTACTAAATTCTATATTTCTATCAACACTAATTATTATACATTAGATTTATTTATTTGAGAGGGTCATACCCTAGTTTTTTGAATCACGTTTATTATAATATTGTAATTAATAATTATGCTAATTACCATGATAACCAAATCTTATATTCTATTTATTAAATTATTTACATTATACATTATGCAATGTATTATTTTTTGTTATAGTTGTAAATTAGATTTTTAAATTAGATGACATTATAAGACAAATTTCAAATTTATTCTTATTTGTAAAAGTAAAATAATG